TATAAAATCTTAAAAGGAAACAGAGCCCTGCCAGAGTTGCCCAGTAGTTGAGTGTTGCCATATGAACCAGAAGGTAAAGGTTTGATTCTGGATCAGGGCACATGCCCGGGTTGCAGGCTCAATCCCCAGTAGGGGGCCTGCAGGTGGCAACTGATCAATGATTCTCTCATCATTGATGTTTCTATCTCTTCTTTTTTCTCTCTGAAATCAATAAACCTATATTAAAATGTATGTAAACAGAAAGTTACTAAACCTGAGACTAGTAATTGTAGGTTTTGTACTGAGAGGTATTGACACTGAAAAATATATAATGAAGATGAGACCAACTACTTGATAATTTCTACATTTTTTTTTTCATTTATATGATGAATTATGCCTTTAGATCTTAATCTTTTTAGATAAAAATTCCCCTGATTCAATGTTCTCTGAAAAATGATTGCTATACATTTTTACACATAAGAAATGCCAGAAAACAGAAATTTAAACACCTGTGTGATGTACATAATATGCGAAGACACTATGAAAACAAATTTAAGTCCCACTTCTGTCATTAGAATGAATAGGAGATAGTGTTAATTACAAAAACTGTTTATTTTTCATTATCCCATATCATTTAATGTCCAAGATATAAGTTCTAAACAAAAAAGACCCCCCCTCCCCCACTTTGTACCTTTAATACATTTAGGGATCTTAGGCTCCCAAGTACTGTCGGCTCCACAGACAATAGTGCTGCTGCCTTCCAGGTAAAATCCCTCCAAGCACTCAAAAGTAACCTCCGATTTGTACTGAAATTTTTTTCCAAATCCTGACGCCAGTCTCCCATTCTCCAGCGCCGGATATTCACATTTGACGACTGAAAGGTGAAGAAATTCCAGAATTAATGGAAAGCTGTTTTACAGGGGAAAGAAAAACTAGTGCAAATTAGTAATTTCCCCTGGGAACAAAGAGGCGAGGCATGGAAGACAGAATGTTAGCTTAAAAAACAAACAAACACACACTTTATTTGTGCATTTCCTTCCTAGGTAAACAGATATAGAGACATCCAATAACCTTTTCCCACCTAGAACAGACTGCCATTATAGATGATTGGTTTCCTATAAGTTTTCCCATTACTGACAAGTTTTCAGAAAGATCTGATTACCACATACAATTTTCAGATAGTTCAAAAGCACTTTTGCTGCCTTTCAGTGCTAGGAATTTTTTAAATTTCAGGCTTACACTGACTCAGTACCCTGATCTTCTAAAAAGGCAGGAGAGGCTCTTGTAATAAGGTAATGCTTGAGCTCAAAGGTAAAAAGTTAAAAAGAAGCTAGGCATGTAAACATGCAGAGAGAAAGTTATCAGGTATCAACAACATGCAAGAACTGGGATGTGCAAGAAACAGAAAGGCCAGTGAACTTAAGGTCATGTTTTCCAAATATTTTGGACTAGAACTCAGGGATCAAACCCCACATTTTATATTGTAATCTCACAGGTCTGAGATTAAGTTAAAACCTAATAGTTGGCCTTCGTACCCATGTACTCAGGTATTTCCCATTCTGTTCTACTTCTTACAAAATAAAGTGCTGGGTATGATCTTCTAGATCAGTGGTTCTCAACCTTGGCTGCACATTAGAATCACCTTGGAATCTTTTTAAAATCCTGATTTCCGGGTCTCATCCTCCGGAAATTCTGTTTCTTTGTTATGGGGTGGGGCCACAACATTAGTAACAAAGAAACAGAATTTCCAGAGGATGAGGCCCAGAAATCAGGATTTTAAAAAGAATCCCAGATGATTCTAATGTGCAGCCAAGGTTGAGAACCACTGATCTAGATTGATTTCAGGATCTAGCAATGGGTTTGGCAGACTTGGGGGAAAATCACAAACAAAAAACAAAACAAAACAAAACAATGGCTGGGCAGTACATCTTTTGAGATTAAATCTGAGGAATACATAGGGTCCATAATGCACTGCTTTTAAATCAGAAGAGTGCTCTTCCTCCCTAAATGTGGACCTGAATTTCCATCAACCTGGCTCACACTCTTTGCTCTTCCCTGCTGATTCACTTAAATTCCACCCCACACAATTTGTACCCCAATTTGCAAACCCAAACAGTTTGCAGTGACTTTTCCATATGGATCACCTGTCCTGGCTCAGGCTTCAGACTTTCCTATAATCTCTCAAACAAGCAGCAGCTGGTGTCAGCAGGCCCCATACCCCTCAGTAAGAGGCCCCAGGCCTGCCATTGGCACTAGCATGACTTGCTTTACATCTTGGCTTCTTCTGGGCATTTCAAGCCCAACACAAGTAGCAGCCGTATGAAGATTGCTCTGTAGTTCCTGACTGGTGGCTGACTTCGCACCTTCATGGGACCCCCAGAGCCTGTGCACCCAGTAGACAGCTTCATACCATGCCAGATTACAACTCTACACATCCACAAGCAACACTCTCAAGGATCAGACTCAGTGAGAACCCAAGCCCCACAGAGGCAAGTCCTGCTCCATAGGAGTGTCTTCTGCACAGCAGCTATTCCACTGTATTCACAGCTGGTCCTTACAGCCAATTGGCCTGGGGGCAGTTTGTCCCAGTGGTACCAACAGTAATCATGTCTCAACTACAACAAGACAGTGCACATAGCCCTCACAGGGGCACACATAGAGTGCCCAGCTCAGGTGACTGGGGAGACTGAGCCACTGGGCCCTACAGGACACCTATTACACAATGCCACTCTACCAATTGCAGGAAACATAGCAGCTTTATCTAATACATAGGAAAAAAAAAAACACAGGGAAGAAGCCAAAATGAGGAGAAAAAGAAACATGTCACAAATGAAAGAACAGAGGAACTCTCCAGAAAAAGAACTAAATGAAACGGAAGCAAGCAAAACACTAGATACTGAGTTCAAAACAATGGTTATAAGGATGTTTGAGGATCGTAATGATAGCTTCAAGGGACTTAGTGAGAATTTCTCAGGAAATTACTGAAAACATCAAAGAATGAAAAAGGATGAGGCAGAAATGAAAGGATACATGATCTGAAATGAAGAATAGTTTATAGGAAATCAATAGTAGGGTAGAGGATGCTGAGTGATTTGGAATATGAGGAAGCAAAAAACACCCAATCAGAGCAGCAAAAAGAATAAAAACATATGTAGATAGTTTAAGGAGCCTCTGGGACCATCTTCAAGCATACCAACATTCACACCATGAGGGTGCCAGAAGAAGAGAGAGGAAAAATTATTGAAAAGCTATTTGAATAAATAATGACAGAAGACCTTCCCTACCTGGTAGAAAAAAAATGGACTTACAAGTCCAGGTTGCACAGAGAGTCCCAAACAAGATGAACCCAAAGAAGTTCACATGAAGACACATCATAATTGAAATGTCAAAGGTTAAAGACAAAGAAGGAATCTTAAAAGCAGTTAGTTACGTATAAGGGAGCACATATATGACTATGAGCTGATTTCCCAACAGGAACGTGGCAGATCAGAAGGGAGTGACAGGAAATATTCAAAATGATGAAAAGAAAGATTCTACAATCAAGATTACTTCACCCAGAAAAGCTATCATTTAGAATTGAAGGTCAGATAAAGAGCTTCCCAGAGGAAAAAAAAAAAGTAATATAATTCATCACCACCAAACCAATATTACATGAAATGTTGAAGGATATTTCACAAGAAGAAGAAGAGGAAAAAGAAGAAGAAGAAGAAGAAGAAGAAGAAGAAGAAGAAGAAGAAGAAGAAGAAGAAGAAGAAAAAGAAGAAGGAGAAGAAACAACTAAATGCCAATAATTACATATCTATCAACAATTGGAACTAAAAATGAAAATAAACAATGAATTGTGAGGAAAAAAAAAACGATGAATAAAATAGAACCAGAGGTATGGAAACATGGAACAGATGGTAGAATCTCAGAGGGAAGGAGGGAGGAAGTGGGCAGAGAGAGAATAACCAAAGAACTTACATGCATATATGCATAGCCCATGGACAGACATTAGGATGGTGAAAGCCTGGGGTGGGGTGGGAACTGGGTGAGAGGGCAACGGTGGGGGACACAGGGGACATCTGTAGTATTGTCAACAATTAAGGTTTAAAGAAAAATGAAGGATAAAACTTCCTTAAAGCCAGTGTGTGTTTTTTGAGGCTCTGAAGGCAAAAATAAAAAATGTTAATTCATGTATATACATAATCATTAACAATATATAAACAGTTATGCCAAGAACATGTGGAATGAAGAGTGAGAAACTCTGAAAGTAGAACTAGTGTTTATTATTTGACATGCATAAAGTTAAATTAGAAACAAATTAGTTTGTTTTAATTTTTTTATATGTTGGCCAAGTTATTTAAAAGTTGGTAAACCTTTCCACACTATTTACAAATGGGAGGGTAAAAAGTAGAAATATTATCACCTTTACACTCAGGAGGGTCAGGGCTCCATTGGTTTCGCCCAGAACAAACAAGCTTGCTCTCTCCAACAAGGGAATATTCATCTGGCCCATCTGAAGGCTTACAACTGTACGTTACTTCTTCATTATATTCAAATATATCTTTGTGGCTATTGGTGAATTCTCCATTGGGTATTTGTGGAGGTGGTTGACACAAAATCTCTTAAAAAGAGAAAAAAAGAGGACAGGAAAGACAAAAGAATATGTAAAAGATTAAGACGGCATTAGTAATAGCCTGTGAACTACCTTCAGTAAGTTCATTACCATATGATTTCCACATCTAGTTGCAAATTCAATATCCATTTGAAACAAAGTTTAGAGAAAGAAGTATATTATCCCAATTCAAACCATCAATAGAGAATTGAAAACTTAGAATAAGCCAATTTTTTTAAAATACCCATAGAAGATACCTGTATGAAACACCTGTATTTATCTGTGAGGCCACACTAAGTTTTTCTAATCATAAGAGACACTGACAATTTAATAAGGAAGTAAACTTATGACTTAGGAAGACTCAGTGCTAGTTGAGATATGCCACAACCATTCCTCAATCAGTGGTTCTCAGGTATACCTCGATTTTGTCTTTTCTCACTGTCACCCTTAGAGTGTACAGTGACATTTTCCAATGGCTTCAGACTGTCTGATAATGCCACAGAATGAATCTGGAGCTCTTCCTTTAAGCCAGTACTGAAGAGATTAGAAAAACTGTAAAGTGTCCGGCCAGCATGGCTCAGTGGTTGATCATCAACGTATGAACAAAGAAGTCACGGTTCGATTCTCGGTCAGGGCACATGCCCGGTTGCATGCTCGATCCCCAGTGGGGGGCGAGCAGAAGGCAGTTTATCAATGATTCTCTCTCATCATTGATGTTTCTGTCTCTCTCTCTTGCTCTCCCTTCCCCTCTGAAATCAATAAAAAATATTTTTTTAAAAAATGTAAAGGAATGACAGTCCACTGTTTTGGAAATGTTTGATCTTACAAAAAAAATATATATTGCGTTTGTTAACATGTATTGAGCTTATTGTTCTTAAAAATGAATTAGTAAATAATTATTATAAATGTCTCTGTTTTAACCCCAATGTAAAGAATATAAATAGCACTAACCCACCTGCAGAAAAGCTCTGTGGGGTCTTGGTTAACCCCTTCCCCAATAATTTTTTTGTTAAAAACGTTTCTTTTTCAGACTAATTTTTTTTATTTTGGTTCTATATAGTATTTTTGATGCTGGTTATGAAAACAGTTTGTAATTATTTTTTCTTCCCATTTTTGTGGTTAAGAATAGTATTTCCTCAGAAAGTTTCTAGATGAAATTATTTAGAATGGTACGTATGTAGCTGGTTTTTGAAGGTAAAGTTTTTAGACGAGTATACTCGTCGACGACTGAAAAAAGAACATTTTGTGAAAACGTGTATACACGTTTCTGCCGGGGAAGGGGTTAATTGTAAAGCAAACGGGGGTCCCCAGGCGAAAAAGTTTCAGGACTGCTGCTCTAAATTCTAAAGACAGAATGTACTTACTTTCACAATGTGGTGGCTCCTCACTCCATTCCACATCGTTTCCAGAGAGTTCACAATGTAGAATTTTTGTGCCAACTAAGGAATAACTAAATGAGAAAAGAAATGATTATTTTTTATCAGTTAACAAGAACACATAATAATGAAGAAGTTTTTATTTGGTTGTTTTCCGGCACTACAGTAGCTTCTGGGAGAAGTTTCTGAAGTGACAGGGATAGAATGTGTTAACTGAATCTGCAATGTAATTAAATGCAGAGATTCTTCATATGAACACACGTTGGCCTAGAGCAAAGTATCTAAATAAACCTGTCACACCTGACAGTCTGGTGATTGCTAGCTCTGGCAGGCACAGCACAGTCACATCTGTGTCCTTGCTCATGCCATTCTGCTCTGTCAGGGCAACGAACTACTCAGCAGCCAGATCTGGCCCCAGCACTGACCTGACTGCATTCAAGCCCCAGCTCCAAGACTGATTTGTTTGTTGAGCTTGGACAAGTTGCTTAATGTTTCTCTTTATTTTTTAATTTTTTGTTAACCCACATCCAATTGTATCTTTGCAATTAATTATTAGGGAGATTTGAAGGCAGGGGAGCGACAGAGAGAGAGAAACATGAAAGTGGGGAAGACACCTCTATGGGACTGCCTCTTGACCGGGGCTGGAGATCAAGTCCCCAACCCAGGTATGTGCCCTTGATCAGAATCAAACCTGGGACCCTTCAGTCCACAGTCTGGCGCTCTAACCTCTCAGTCAAACCGGCTAGGGCTAGTTCCCTTTCTTAAATTCCCCACCTGTGGAAAGATATATATACTTTGTGGGGTGGTTTTGAGTAGTAGGTGTATTAGCATCAGGAACAGAGGAGTGCTAGGCAAGTTTTTTAATACTCTTCAGATTAAGAGTATCTTCCTTAGTAGAGCTCAGGGAGACCCCTACTCCATGAAATCTCTGATGATTGTAATTCACAGAACTCTCTCCTCCTTCTGGACTCTCTTTATAATGAGCCTGAATAAGTCTATTTCTGTGGTAAATCCCACTTAATATTTTATTGGACACTATGTATATAATGAGGCTAAAACTTCTTTGAGAATAATCTATGTCCACCATTTTCAACCTTCTTCATCTCATGGCACACATAAAATAATTACTAAAATTCTGAGGTACACCAAAATATATATTTTTTGCCCATCTGGCAAAAAGAATAGGTATAATTTTGATTCATTCATTCCGTTTGGCTATTATTGTGTTGGCAGCTGTCAGGTTTTATTTGAAAGTCTAAGAGGTGAGTGCGTCAACTAAATGGTCAGGTATTGCATGTTTTAAAAATTTTGTGGCACATGGGTTGAAAATTGCTGGTCTCTGTCCTAACCTTTTGGTAGTTCGAAAGGTAGACTTTTGAGCGGAGGCCAAAGCCGGCTCAGGGCAGGCGGGAAGCTTGGCTTCCTCCATCACCCAGACAACCAAGCCTCCTGCTTGGTGCAGCTCTGTGTCTGGCAGCTGCCATCTTGGTTGGGTTAATTTGCATATAGTCGCTCTGATTGGCTGGTGGGCGTGGCTAAGGGTGTAGCAAAGGTATGGTCAATTAGCATCTTTGTCTTTTATTAGTGTGGATTAAATGACTAGTCGCCCAGTGTGCACATTGAAAGGAAATTAATTAGCAGAAATATTTTAATATCGCTATTCTCCCTTTCTCTATAATAAAAATGTGAACCAAATTTACAATCCACAATGACAGATGGAAACATAGGCGTGCGATTTGCGCCAGTGAGAGCTTTATATGTATCACGTATGCACCAGTCAACTTAGGCTTTTATAGATATAGAATAAACTTCCTTAATTAGACCTATTTCCTAAAAAGTTAGCTAAACTTTTTCCAGCCCAGTGAAGCACCCCAACTCTCTTTCAGGTAACTGTCAGCAACACAGCAGTAAATATATCAAAACAAAGCAGATTATTATTGTAGATCACACAGGGAGAACAAAGGGTTAAATATTTAACTGCAGCAGTGTTGTTGTTTTTTAAAATATTTTTTTTATTGATTTCAGAGAGGAAGGGAGAGGGAGAGATAGAAACATCAATGATGAGAATGGATCATTGATCACCTGCCTCCTGCATGCCTCCTACTGGGGATTGATCCCACAATTAAGGCATGTGGCCTTGGCTGGAATTGAACCCAGGACCTTTCAGTCCACAGGCCAACACTGTATCCACTGAACCAAACCAGCAAGGGCTGCAGCAGTGTTTGACTATATTCTGCACAGTGAGAAAGCCTGAAGTCATTTTCAAGGTCCACCATTTCTTCTTTTCAATCGGATCAAGTTTCTAAGCTTTCTAAATCTCCATTTCCCGGCTAATGAAAAGAAAATAGGATTCCACTGAGTCTCCTATCCACCTATGCTAGGACTTCTGTGAGGATCAAATGAGATGAGGCTCGGGAAAACGCTTCACAGACATTTGGTTACAGTGTAAAATGTTTCCACCTGGGTGTTCCTGGGCTGAACAAACTGTAAGGACGCTAGTGGTCACTAGGGAGAGGAAGCTGGCCGTTGCTACATGACATCATTACCCCATGGTCAAACACTTAGCATATTAGCCTTTTTTAAAAAAATATATTTTATTGATTTTTTACAGAGAGGAAGGGAGAGAGACAGAGAGCTAGAAACATTGATGAGAGAGAAACATCGATCAGCTGCCTCCTGCACATCTCCCACTGGGGATGTGCCTGCAACCCAGGTATATGCCCTTGACTGGAATCGAACCTGGGCCCTTTCAGTCCACAGGCCTACACTCTATTCACTGAGCCAAACTGGTTTTGGCAGCATATTAGCCTTTTATATAGATCAGTGGTTCTCAACTTGTGAGTCGTGACACCTTTGGCAGTCCAACGACCTTTTCACAGGGGTCGCCTAAGACCATCCTGCATATCGGATAGTTACATTACAATTCATAACAGTAGCAACATTATAGTTATGAAGTAGCAACGAAAATAATTTTATGGTTGGGTCACAACATGAGGAACTGTATTTAAAGGGCCAGAAGGTTGAGAACCACTGATATAGATAGATACAATTGTGCTTTCCTTCAATTTAAATTTCTTTCTATTTGTTGCACATCTTTTCAGTCTCCAAGGGTTGATTGGCTATACGTACAACTTGTTCCTCAGAAAGCAAGATGAAATCAACATTGTGGAAATGCTTGAGAAGAGAACCAAACCAAAAATGGAACCAGAAATATTTACCTTATTCCTTCAAGGAGCAACTTACCCCTCATTACAAGCATAGTGAGCTTGTGCGCCAAACTCCAGAGTTTCACTAATGTAGACTATTTTGCCATTTGGAGGTTCTCTTGGCTGTGGACATGACTTTTCTAAAAGAAAAATTGCAAATTTGTTGTTTTATACCCATGACAAAACATATTTGAATCAAAATGAAAATTCTACATTGCTCTATTAAATGCATGGAAATATTTTCTTATTTTTATTACATTTATTGGGGTAACATTGATTACAAGCGTATATAGGTTTCAAGTGTCTATTTCTAGGATACATGATCTGTATATTGCATTGTGCTCCCATTACCCAAAGTCAAAACATCTTCCGTTACATATGTTTGGTCCCCTTTACTCATTGCTACCCATGCAAATCCCCACCCTTCCCTCTGGTAACCACCAAAATGTTGTCTGTGTCTCTGAGTTCCAGTTTTACATCTCTTTTATGAGTGAAATCACATAGTTTTCAGCTTTTTATGACTGACTTATTTCACTTAGCATAATGTTCTCACGGTCTATATCCATGTTGCCGTTAATGGTCAAACTTAAGATTCACATTTACGCATAGCATCAATGGCCAAATAAAAAATTTCCTGGAGATTTTCAAAGCCTGAAAAAATAGATTCTAAATTTACATCCATCTGAGAAAACCATCATGATAATGGGGGAATAGGCCATCTCAAATGTGTGAAAATCTTTAGAGCAATCAAAATAAAAAGTCTTGTGTACTTACTTGTACAGGCCTCCTGGAGAGGAGGTGCCCAGGTGTTATCAGTCTGACAAACAGCAGAGGATGGAAGAACAGGAAAACGACGCCTGTATCCTGGGCGACACTCATATTTTACCTGGTACCCAGGATTGTAAGGGGGTGTAGGATCACCCTGGGGTTTCATAGATTCAAATCTTGGCAGCTCACAACAGGCATCTGAGCATGAGAGAATAACAACGTAAAACTAAAGTATTTTCTCTTTTCCACCAGCCAGGGAGAATGGCTGGCAGCAGGCAGGTTATACGGAATAAATGGAAGGCCCTTGGTGAGATTTTAAGTGATTGTGCCGGGCTTTTACCAGATGATGAGCTGTGCTTGCTTTAAATACCATTCTACTAGCTTTGGTTTCTTTGAGATTAACCTGAATATTCTTTCAACAGTAAACTGAAGAGACAGCAGCAATAACTTTGGTTTCAAAATACTATTTGCAGGTATGTATCCTTCCCATTTTTTTGTCCCTATAAATGTAAATTAGATTGTTTATTTGGGATTGTATCTATTTCTGAAGGAAGGCCCTTATAGGTATATACTTTCATCATCTGACTGCTTGTGCTGTATCCTATACATTTTGAAAGGTTTTGTTTTTATTTTCATTTTTCTCAAGGTAGTTTTTTGTGTTCCTGTTGGATTTGAATTTTCACTGGGTTGTCAGCCCCCACTTAATATTATGCTTCATATATTTCTGGCACTTATAACAGAATGGTTGTACCAAGGAAAAGAGATTGAGCATTTGCTAACATAAGTGTGACAAGCCACAAAGGATCTCTGCATTCTAGTAGAGCTAGGACAGAAAAGATAGTTTGGGTATAGGGACAACAAGTCAGGGGAATTTGAGCTGGAGTGTGTGGGTCTCTCTGAGATATTTTGCTCAGAGAAGGTGGCTGAGGGGATAGCATCACACTTCAGTTTGAAGGACAAGGAGCCAATTATGCAAGAGGAAGGAGGAGCCTGGGGACAGCAAGTGCAGAAGCCCCAAAGCAGCAGAGTGTGACTTCTGAGCAGAAAAGCCTTCCCTCCCAACAGTCATTTGTTAAATGCTCTCAGAGAAGCATGCTCCTTCCTCCAGGGCACCTGACAGGGGTTATAACACTAGCGTTGTGGTCTGGTTACTGTCCGCCAGTCCCAGTACATTTCAGCAAATCTTTATTGATTGCCTACTGTGCGCCTGGCACTGGGGATCTAACAGTGAGCAAAACATAGTCGCTGTTTATGTTCATGTGTGTGCGTGTGCAAACAGGCAAAGTGTCAAATAAGGATCATGAAAATAGGAATGGTTTGTTATTGGTCACCAGTGTGTCCCCAGAACCAGCACAGGGCCTGGCACATACAAGGCAAATAATTTATTGAATGACTTCTCCTAAGGAGAGAATGCAGCATAGAAACTCTCTCTATAATAGGATCCCAAAAATCACTTCGATATAGAAACACACATGCATACAACGACAGTTGGAAATATAAAGTATTCCATGTTTGTCCTTTGATTGTATATGTTTTCTACAATAAGCATATATATGTATATATGTATTGATTGTATTCAGTGAAACACAAATCAAACTTAGTGGATGGCTTTCAGCTTTAGTTTATCAGAGATAGGGGAAAAGCTTATTGATGTTATTTATTGTTCTTTCTTTTGACTCATCTCTCACTAAGTGTTGCTACCAGTATTTTTTTGGTTGCTTCTAATCTCCCTTTAAATGGGACCCAACCTAGTGAAAAAAAGAAAAAATATTGCCCGAAGACATTGGGGAGTAGCATAACATATTATTGATATTGGATGAGAATGAGAACGGAACTCCAGAGTTAAAAACAAGCAACAGCCTGGAGAGCAATACCAATATGATTGGGGGCAACAAGCAGCCTGTTACCTTTTTGTACAAAAAGCACTGCGTGTCCTTCCCAATCCTTCTAAACCCCAGGCCCTGGAGCTCGCTCTCACTTAAGGGCTCTCTGGGTAACATGCGCTCCCCAAACCCCATACAAAGCAAGCAGTGAGCTTCCTTGCCCCACACCCTGCAACCTCTGGCTTGGACCCTCTGTAAAGCATACGCCTGGCAACACCTGGCCTGGGCTCCCCCAGCCCAACCCAGTGGGGTGTAGCACCACACTCACCAAGGCTTCACTAAGCACAGGGGGCACAGGGGAAAGCCTCCCACGGGCCCAGCACTGGCCCAATAACATCCCACACACTGGGCACTGAGGAGCAGGCCCGCACCTTCAGCACCTGCTCAGGGCTTCCCATCTCGTCTTGTTAATTGTTGACAGTATTACACACGTCCCCCATTTCCCCACCCTTTTGCCCTCATCTACTCAATCCCCGCCCCACTCCTGGCCTTCCCCACATTATTGTCCATGTCCATGGGTTTTGCATATTTGCAAACATGTTCTTTGGTTAATCTCTGACATCTTGATTAGCTCAGTCCACAAACACCTGCAGGCTTTTGCTAGGGACACAGCTTGGCCCCCAGCAAACACTGGGCTCTGCAAGGCTCTGTGCCTACCACCTAACAACCCTCTCTGCAGGCCCGCTGAGTCCCCCCTCACTTCTGGGTCCTCACAGAGCAACCAGGAGGATCTGTGGCTAAGGCTTCTACCCTGAACTCACATCACCTGGTCCACCAAGCCCTGAGCCTCCTCCTCACACACCAAGCAAAGTTCCCTTTGCCCTCCGCTCCTGTAGACCAGCTCCCCTACCCGCTCTAGTTTCCCTCCAGGGCTGTGACCCTTTCCCTTCCCTACCTGAGCATGTGGGTAGCAGGAGCTCTAGGGCCAGCACTAGGATCCCAAGGAAGCCCCCAGAGAAGGGACTCTCCAGGCGGCGGGAGGATGCCCTGCGCGGCTCGTAAGAGGCCCTCATTGTCCTGGACTTCAGTGGGAAACCCGCGGGAGAGTGAGTATTTGCCTCTTGGAATGCCTGTCCCAGACGCAACAATCCCCAGACTCAAAAGGTGTCAAGTTCTTTACAGTTGGTGGGCGTGGTCTGGACCTTGACATCACGATAGGGAGGGGCCAATGGCGGGGTGGAACGGGGTGTGGCTGGCCGAGGTCTAAACCAATCCTGTCCTCTGGCTGCTCAGGCTCTGCCCCGGCCTGTGTGGACCATTCTTCCACCTGCCAAGGTTTGCTGGAAATGGTGCTTCACTGCCATGTCCTTAAAGAGGCAGTTATCCCTAAACACGTAGAAAGGGCGGAAAGGAAACGAGAGCTGGCCCAGTCCTCATTGCCCCTTTCCGGGACACCTGGACGGAAGAATAAAGCGAACTGACCTGAGAATAGAAACTGAGTCCAGAGAGAAGGTTGCCTAGAGACCAGATGGAGTCTCAGAAAATTCTTTTTCTTGAGATATCATAGGACCCGCGGCCCTAAGCACCCAGTGGGAAAGAGGATTCCCCACTTCTGCCAGTGGACACCCCATTTCTACAGATAAGAGAGCCAGGGCCCTTACTCATATTTGGCATTAATCACACATAATTAGGGACAATAGTTGAGATTTCTGTGGTTGAAGGTCTGCTACTGAATCCTCTCGAGGCCTGGTAGATTTCAAAATCACCAAGATAGTTTGTCCACTGCACCACCAACCAAAATATAAATGCCTCTGCCCCTAGTCCCTTGAGAGGCCCCTGGGAAGGTACATTATTAAACACCGTGCCATTAAGGGTTTTGGGTCTCAACCTAGAGGACCCTTGCCATTTTGGAACTAAATGTTTTATTGAAGACAAAATACATATGTTTGGAAAAGGCTATGGACAGGGTGTATTAAGTGTCAAATTCCTGGTTGTGGTTAATGCCATGATTGGTGGGATGAGTAGGTACTGAAAAGAGGGAGAACTTTTGTGGTGAAACCATCTCGATTCTGGAACAGTAAGAATGAGCAAGATTTACTGGTAGAGTCGGGAGTTAAATGTTTTATTGAAGACAAAATACATATGTTTGGAAAAGGCTATGGACAGGGTGTATTAAGTGTCAAATTCCTGGTTGTGGTTAATGCCATGATTGGTGGGATGAGTAGGTACTGAAAAGAGGGAGAACTTTTGTGGTGAAACCATCTCGATTCTGGAACAGTAAGAATGAGCAAGATTTACTGGTAGAGTCGGGAGTAAATCTGTAAGACTGGTTTTTAAAAAGTAAGGAGGGATGTTAAAGAGCATACGAAAGGAGTTGACATTTTGGTCTTTATTTGGAAAAGAATCAAAATGTCAGCAATTGTGAGTAAACGCATTGGGAGCCGCAGCATCCTCAAATGTTTCGTTTTTAATATAACTTTGTTGTACATTAGAAGTTTTACAACGGACATGACTTTTACACCACCACTTCTGTTTAGAGTTTATCTCAAAGAAATCATCAGAGCTGTGAGCAAAGATGTAAAATTTTGGCAAAATATGAAATGCTAGTTGTCTGGTAACGGTAGTAAGGAATTTATGGGAATCCTATGCAGCATGCAGTGTAAAAATGTCAATGTAACTGATAGATTTGTAAGTGGACAAAACAGACTCTAAATCAGCATCTGACCTTTGGCACGTCCTTTATAAAACAGAGTGTATATTGGTGCACATAAAAGAGATTAATTGGAAGTATTCCCAAAGTTAACTAAGAGTTGGTAGGATTGTGCCTATTTCCTTTTCTTTGTGCTTTTTCCATTTTTCTCTAAATACAAGTTACATCTGGAATCAGGCACTGAATAAAATTTTGATAATCCAGTTTCTGTATCCACATCTTATTTTGTTCATAGAATGATGCAGGTAGAACATGTACCACGCAGGGTTAAGGATGGAGAGGCTGGTGAGGAAATGGAAGCTCTCAGTACAAAACTCAAATGCTCCTTCTGGAATTACAGAAGTTCACATATATTTACACAATTCTGCATCTGAGATGGACTGAAGCCTTTCTGAGTTCAACAAACCATGGAAATTCCTGTTCCTCCCTGAACAACACAATGTTTTGATTCTTAGCTGAGCATATAAGACACTTAGTGTGGAGGTGATGTGTAAAACTGTTGACAATGAGAAAAATATATCTGCCCCAAAGGACTCCTCATGGGATCAAATTCATAGCCAGTGTCATTTACAGAGTAAACTCTTGCACTCTGCATTGCAGCATGGCCAACAACTGAACTACCCAAAATGCATATGCTAATCACAGTGCTAGCATTACACGTAAAC